TAAAAATCCATGCTTATAGCTCTCTTTTTCTTTTAAAAATTATTCAAAATTAACCACGTTTTTAAAAATTATAAACCTTTAAAACAATTATTAAAAAATCCACGCTTGTAGTTCTGATAGTCCTTGAAAAATATTATTAAAAAATCCACGCTTGTTGTTCTGATTGTCCTTAAAAAATTATATTTAAAATCCACGATTATATCTATGATAGCTCCTAAAAATATATAAAAAAGAAAATAACATTTATAGTCCTTGAAAATATGATTTGAAAAATCCACGCTTGTAGTCCTTGAAAAATACGATTTGAAAAATCCACGCTTGTAGTCCTTGAAAAATACGATTTGAAAAATCCACTCTTATAGTTCTGACAATCCTTGAAAATATGATTTGAAAAATCCACGCTGGTAGTTCTGATAGGTCTTGAAAACTATGATTTAAAAAATCCACGCTTGTAGTTCTGATAGTTCTTGAAAAATATGATTTAAGAAATCCACGCTTGTAGTTCCGACAGTCCTTGAAAATATGATTTGAAAAATCCACGCTTGTAGTTCCGACAGTCCTTGAAAAATACGATTTGAAAAATCCGCGCTTGTAGTTCTGATAGTCATTGAAAAATATGATTTAAAAAATCCACGCTTGTAGTTCTTATAGTCATTGAAAAAAAAGATTTAAAAAATCCACGCTTGTAGTTCTGATAGTCATTGAAAAAAAAGATTTAAAAAATCCACGCTTGTAGTTCTGATAGTCATTGAAAAATACGATTTGAAAAATCCGCGCTTGTAGTTCTGATAGTCATTGAAAATATGATTTGAAAAATCCACGCTTGTAGTTCCGACAGTCCTTGAAAAATACAATTTTAAAAATCCGCGCTTGTAGTTCTGATAGTCATTGAAAAATATGATTTAAAAAAATCCACGCTTGTAGTTCTGATAGTCTTTGAAAATTCCACGCTTGTAATTCTGATAGTCCATGAAAATAGGCTTTGAAAAATCCACGCTTGTAGTTCTGATAGTCCTTAAAAAATCCACGCTTTTAGTTCTGATAGTCCTTGACAAATATGATTTAAAAATCCACGCTTATAGCTCTAATATTCCTTCAAAAAAACCGTGCTTATAGCTCTCATAGTCCTTGAAAAATATCGGTACTAACAAATTTACGCTTGTAGCTCTAAAAGTCCTTGGAAAATATTATTTAAAAAATACGCTTATTGCTCTGATAGTCCTTTTAAAATATTATTTCAAATGAATGCTTATAGCTTATACCTCCAAAATCTACGACTTCGGTGGACTTCAAAAAATAATTTAGACATCAAATATTTTTTTGCTGGACTTAATATATATGTATATATATATACATATATATATATATATTTTTGTTTTCTCTTTTTTTTAAAAAATCCACGTCTTTTTTGGACTTCAAAGAAATTTTTGTTTTGTTTTTTTTTTTTTTGAAAATCCACACCCTGCGGGAACTTTAAGAAATATTTTATCAAAAAATCCACGCCTTGCACGCAAGGCGTGCATTTTTTAAGAATATTTCTTAAATGAACTTCCAACTTCCAAAAATATTATTTAAAAATCCACGCCTTTGATGGACTTCAAAACATATTTTTTTGAAAAATCCAGATCTGTGGTAGATTTAAAACTATTGTTAATTTCGTTTATCATTCTTTTATAATAGCTAAGTAGATGATAGATCTGCTATAGCGTAGGTAATGGAGCTGCTATTTATCGTTGCCTAGAATCAACGGGTGCTTGAAAATTGCCAAGGATCGGGAATAAACTCCGTACAAAATTAAAGTTAAGTTTTAGTTGTGCAGGGTATCATATGGTATACCCCGTCCGACTATACTGTTCTGCGTATATTGTTTTTATAGCTACTTATTTTCAAATTATTTTTCCAAACTTTGCCGTTTTGCAGATCAATACCGACTCAGATCCACTCATTTGTATGGCCTCCATATAACTATAAAATAAGTAGGCTACATTTTAGCAGCTAAAAATCGAAAGTATTAATTTTACCGTTAAGGTAGTGGAATTTTTTAAAATGAACACTAAGTCGTATGAATGAATCCGCCTAGTTCGAATTGAAATCTACAAAATATTTTTTGTATTATTATATTTTATGTTTTTGCATTATTATAATTTATGTTAATCGTCATATTTTATGATTTTTTTTTTATTCATACGAGTCAATCTGTATGAAACAAAAAAAGAAATATTTACCACATATTCTTGCAAATATGTTTAACGAATCTACAGAGATAATGATGGAATGATAGATGAAACTGTGGAACTTTAGAATTGAAGAAACCCAAAACTTATAAAAATAAAGAAGTAAAGAAATAGGCATAATGTGGTGACTAAAGTTTGAGCATGGAACATGAAGGTTGTCAATCTATTTTGAGTTCTTCAGTTTCGGTCTTCATTTTTGCAAGACACACACATGTGTATTTATTTCGGAAACTTGGTATGGAGCTACACAACTCGGCCCTATAAAAATAGTAATTTATTTATTCATAATGTTTTTTAGTGCTCGAAAGATTAACTTAGTAACAGGCCCCCTCTCTGCGTCTGTCTTTTCCTTGGTGTGTTTGTTTCTGGGGCCATTATTTTAAGCCATGCGTAATATTTTAATTGTAATGTTTTTTTTTTCGTTTTTATTTTCATTAGTTATGACTTTATTGTTGCAACAGCGATGTACTGAATGCTATTAATTGTCCATCGCAGGTTTTTGTAGTATTTGTAGAAAAAAAGATTAAAATATTTTACATAGTTGAATAATTACGAACATATTTAAGGGGGGTTATGAAATTTAAATGGACTGTATGTATCTAGAAATATCTTTTCTTAATGTATGACTTAGTAAGCGATTTTTTCTAGCTCACCGACATATTTGCACAAAATTATAATACCCTCTATGTAGATTTTCTAATAAAGCCGATACTTTTTCTATCATCTACTTATATAGAAAATCTCCCCATAGATAGAACTTCATCTATAGGATGAACAAATTCCGCAGACCAGAAATATTGTGAATTTATTAAAACACAACCCCCACTCCTTTTGTTCTATACAATTTTTTCCTGGTCTTCTGTAGGTACCTTATTTCGTTGTTAGTACACATTCCATTGGTATTCTATATGTAGAATTTCTATAAGTCGAGAATCAGCTATGTATCTTCCATAGACTTTTATAGGTATGTTATTGGTAAAAGGCCTTCTGCGAACATGTATGCCTCTGGCCTTATATTTAGCATATCAATCTATACCATCAAAATTAACGGTTTAGGTAGATATCTTTTAAACCTCCCTCTTTATGATTTTATGTTGACTCTAATTCGACATTTTATGTTCCATTCGGTTACGAAACTTCCTACCAAAAATTATAAAAATCAGTCCATCTTCAGGCGTCTGTGTTGCCGCTTTGGGCATTTCGGACCGAATTTTGTCCGAAAAAAAAAAAAAAAATCAATTTGGTTCGACGCATGACCATTCGGTGGCGGGTGCATTTTCTAAGCGAAGTGATTATAATTTAGCATTCCGGAACATCCTTCACAGAAGATCTTCAATTCTGCATAGATCCAATACAAAGGTCACGATCCATTATCTTACAGAGTTCTAGCTCATTTTCCCAACTTCAGTGTCTGTAGTTTTGTACTTCGTTTTCTCCTGGCAGCATTCTACCAAGGCATAGCCCCATAGAATAGTACCGATTTTGGGTACATTGAATGTGAACCTCATGGAATTCGGACCTGCCAAAATTAAAGCCGTGTTTTACTTGTTTAATTTTTATTATATTGAGATTATTATTTTTTCACATAGTGTAGGGAACCAAATATTCGATGCGTTTACATTTAATGCCACTTTGTTTACTTGTTTAAATTTGAATTTCATTGTTTTTTTTCTGCTTTACTTATTGTTGCAAGGTCAGTCACACTACAAGTTTTTCCCATTTGTTTCATTTATGCCATTTCGGTTTTATAATTTTCATGAACTTATCTTGCCGTTGCTGTTGAAATTTCCACAACCGAATTGTGTAAATGTTTCAGCGTAGCTTAAACGTATTAACAAATGTAATGAATATTTGTGTGTTTTCGTCATATTTTGTGGTTGTGTCAATACTTTCGAAATTTTTTTTTTTAATTTTAATATTTTGCAATACCAAGTACCGAAAACATTTTAAAAGCCCTCATATGAAATGATGCGGAAACTTGGAAATGACACAGAAAAAATAATTCGTATATTTTATGAATAGTGTTCTGAAAGTGTTGCCAATGTCCGGATTTCTGCATTTTAAGGATGCAGTTCATAAATCTTGAAATACAGGTTTCTTCTCTAAGAGAGGGAGAGATGGAGAGAGCGAAAAACAACTTTGGTTTTTTGGTGGTGATAGTGGGGTTTCTATGGCACAGAAACTTTTTGTCAACGTTTTGATTTTTCTAATATCATTTTATGTTTTCTTTTTTGTTTTGTCCTGATGGCATTTATATCCAAATAATTTGGAAACTACATACGCGAATTGTTTTAACAACAAACTTGTCTGAAATAATTAAACAATGGAATGCACGGTTGTTAACAGGAGAAGTAGTAGGTAAACAAATTATTGCAATACCAACAACCACAAAATGAGGGAAGAGACAGCGGACGACAACAAAACTGTATGCACCCGAACAATAAATTGTTGTGTTTTTTTTTCGGGAGGAATACATTTGTTTTTGCCAAATGAGAGATAGGGAATAAGAAATGAGCGCAATGAGCGAAAAGTGGTAAAATGGATCAAAGTATGAAAATAGCTCTGATATTAATGAAATTTTTACATTTTTTTGACAATAAGAGGATTTCTTATGATTATAATATTACTTGTATTCTTTCATGTTCAACATGGAAATAATAAACTACCCCTATCTTTAGTCTTAAAAACTCAAATAATTTTTGTACCGATTTATTTGGTTATTTAAAATATTTACTAATTTATATTTTCTTTCTTGTTTTTTTACAGATGCCAAAACAATCCTCAAGGGTGTCAGCGGACGTTTACGTTCCGGTGAACTCACCGCTATTATGGGACCATCTGGGGCTGGTAAAAGTACCCTGCTGAACATTCTGTCCGGTTACAAGTACGTTCAAATATATCACTAATGGAATATTGAAATATTTTATATCAAAAACTAGTTAAACTGTATCTGTATGTCCAGGCCCACTATATTCTATAAGACTTCTTAATACCAAATACGCTATTTAGGTCTTCTTAGGAACTTTGTAAGGATTTTATGTAGAGAATACCTTGAACCACAACCTATTTAATAGGCAACAAAATGACAATATATAAATCTTCCAAGTTCCATAGTGCTTTCCAATAAGAAGTTTTATCATGGTATTCAAACAATATATTTTTGAGATATATGTTCGTTCCATTTACAAACGCTGGGGCCACACAAACGTATAACACTCTCAGGATATATATTTGTGTGGCCCCAGCGTTTGTAACACCGTAGACTATTACTCCCAGGCCCACCTTTAAGTATACTGATCTTCATATCTCAACTAGCTGATTCTATCTATCTATGTGTGTCATTTAGTCTGTCCATTTGATATTGTGAGAGACGATCGTTTTTGACAATTATGGGTTTATGTTTAGAAGATATTTATCTCTGCCTTTTTTCTAGAAGTGGGATGGTCGTCCTTTAATCTGATATCCATGTTTATACCCTCTACCATAACACGTGGATAAATTCATCGGGTACCCCATAAAGTATATATTCTTGATCAAAATAAAATTCTATGTCGACATTTGCATTCCCGTCTGTCTGTTGAAATCACGATATAGCTCGCAATATATTTCATAGAGCTTTGGAATTTTGCACATACATTGCATTGAAAATTTGATATATCGGTCCACGTGTTGGTATATCCCCCATATAACGGTACCAAATATTCGGTATTTTGGGAATTATTGGCACGTTTTTTAATGGAATTTACTGTATTTCGTTACATAGAGCTCCCATTGAGTGACAAACCCCCCCTAACAAAAATAATCGATATGGGTCCACTTTTTAGGATACTCCCCATACAACGATACTTCCTATTATTCGGTATTTTAGGTGCTTCAGACATGTTTTCCAACAGAATCAATTGTAATTTGGTATTTTGGATTCACAATGGATATCAGATCTGACCATGAAAAATTATCAACATTGGTTTATGTTTCGGGGTAGCCCATATATAACGATATCCCCCAATATTAGTCATTTTGATGATTTTCGGAACATGTTTATACTTAACTGGTTGTAATTTGTTATTTGAGTTGTGGTATGTTAGTAAATCTTCATACTAAAAATTATCAATATTGGTCTAGATTTGATACACCCCAAAAATCGATATTTTTGGGAGCATCTACCAATTTAGGAACAATTTAATTTTTTTTTTTTTTTTTTTTTTGATTCTCATTGAGTAGAAAATGACCCTAATAAAAATGATCAACATTGGTCTTATTATTCGATAGTATTGGCGTTTTGAGCTCGTTTTTTTTATCAGAATTGGCTCTAATTTGATTTAGAAGCGTTCTCATGAGTTGTCAGAACTTCCTACTAAAAATGATTAATATTGGTTCTCTTTTCTGGGAATCCCCCATTTAATGCTACACCAAACTTCGGCATTTTGGGGAGCTTGGACACATGCTTCAACCTAATTAGCTGCAATTTTATATTTTGGATTCTCATAGAGGAACAAATTATCAATATTGGCCCAAGTTTCCCGGTAGCCCCCATATAATGATACACCCATTATTCAGCATTTTGCGGAATTTAGGCACATTTTCCACCGAATTGCTCAAATTTAATTTATCAAATTCGTATGAGGTGTTAAATCTTTTTTATATAACCCCATATACGAGTTCCGCTAATTTATCTTTATAAATACATTTTTAACCGAATCCTGGCGAATAAAAACTAAATTAGAAAAGTCTGTTTATGTTTTTTTTCAATAAATCCACGGATTACTTCTAAAATTTTATAAAAAAAATACACGCATATAGCTCATGGAGTACTTCAAAACAAAATCTTAAACATTTATGCATGTAGCATCCGATAGCCCTTCAAAAAATCCTCGCTCAAAAATATTCCTTAAAAATCTCTGATATCCCCGAATAACATTTTATTTAAAAGATTTATTTTTAAAAAAATAAATAAAATGTACACCCTCCACCATGGGTGTATATTTACTTTTTTTCTATTTCGCATGCAACACCTCCAAATTTTTGTTGAAGACTCCATAGTACATAAATACAGTAAAAATCGTTTATAACGATATATTGCAATTTATACTATCCTTACCTGGACCACAATTCCTTACCTGGACTGTAATTACACCATTCAGCACACTGTGGTACAGGGTGTCTTTGTGCGTATGACAAAATTTTGCACAGCATAGTAAACTAAGTATGAGAAGTTTTTTTTTTAATCGCTACAGATTTAGATATAGCTCACATATACATATATTTTCATCCGATTTTAATTAAATGGCACACAAATCTCCCAAAGTTTCTGTGATTTAGACACAATTTTTGCACAGCATAGTTAATTATTTACAGATTGGTGTGTGTGTGAAGTTTTGTTGAAATCGATTCAGATTTAGATGTAACTCCCATATATAGTTTCGATTTTAAGTAATGGTACACCAAGGATCGAAAGTTAGACATTTTCAATATATATATATATATATATAGATATTTTCAATAAAGGTCCATTGCATGGTCGCATTGTCGGTATTCTGAAGATTTTACCCACATTCTCTATCCGAAGGCAATTTCTTTTTTACATTCCCGGTTCCTGTAGGGTTAAAAATAATTTTTTAAAATATGGGTACAAATATACCTTAATTTTTGGTCATAGTCCCCTATGTAAAGGTCCTGCACCATTTTCAGTATATTGACGGATTTGTGGCAGAGTAAAAATCTGGGGTATGTTGGATTTGCCAGGTCTGAAGTCCAATAATGCCATTGACCATTGGCTTCAGTCATTCACACAACACGCTGGATAGCATTTTATATGCGATGAGAAGGAGACTTATTCCTCTATAGTTGGCACGGGACACAGGATGTTGAGGTTCCAATCATTGGGAATGCATCTAGCCAAATTGTACTAATCAGCTGGTGCATGCTCCCGATTGAATAGTTCGGCTGGTAACTCATCGACACCTGCTGCTTTAATATTCTTCAGCCAATTGACTGATATTCCATGAAAAGTTATTATTTAACAATTCTGAGTTCATTAAATTGAAAAAAATGTTTTCAAAAAATCTACACTCATAGCCCTGATAATCCTTAAAATATATTCCATTCAAATATAGGCTCCTCACTCGAATATTCGATGAGCAAATATTATTTGAAAATGATATGCTTATATATCACATATTCATTGACAAAATGTTTTTTTTTTTTAATCTAAGCTTACAGCTCCGATATACCCTAAAAGTATTACTCTTATTAAATCTTCTATTCCAGCTCTGAGATTCCTTAAAAATATTATTTTAAAATGCTACTAAGTCCAAACCTATAAAAATATTTTTTTAATCTACTCTTATAGCCCTTGAAAAAATATTATTTAAAACATATATGAGTCCCATTAATGTTGTTTTTCCAACATGTGTTAATTCCAATATGTATATCAAACGAAAACATTTGCAATTGTGTATTATCGATAACTTCCTATCAGCAAAAAAGTCGGTTATCAACCTCTTTTTTGTCGGTTTGCAGCTGGGCGCATAGAAGGTCCAATAAAGTCAATTAACTTTTTTATGATGACCTTGTGCAAATCATAAATAGCTATGGAAAAACAGCAACAACTCAAAGCAACAGTAACTCACAAAGAAAATTGACCATTGTAATAAAAATAAAATCAAGAAGAAGAAGCAAAATAATACAATTAAACATTAATTGAAGGCCTGACAGGCTAGCTAGCGGTAGGGTTTTCTTTGATAGTCCAAGGAAAATGTTAATGGCCATTTATGGGTAATAATTATTATAAGACCATTAATTATGCAATTTCAGTTATATACTGCTAAAGGTTAGGAAAATTAATATTGTGTCTTTGGCTTCGGACAACATATATATGGAGCGATTGATCTGAGGTCACCGAAAACATAATCTTTTTAAAAATTTTCCATCGAGGGAAACCTTTAGAATATTTTCCACCTATCAACGTTATACAGAGTGTATTAATATATCTTCTGAATGGTCGATCTATACAAGATCTCCATAATGTCATCCATAACTAGAATGATACAAGAATATTAAAAAAAAATGTATTTAGGAGATGATCATTTTATAATCAGAAATATCGATTTAGTTCTGAATATATAGTCAGTATAATAATCGAACATTTCTTAGATTTAGAAAACAATAATTTTATATAAAAAAATATCACCTTATTTCTGAATACCTTATATAGTCAGTATAATAATCGGACATTTTCAAAATGTATTTCCCCTTTTCTTTAGGTTTGTATAGCGTTCAATATGTTCGCTCAAACCTAACTTATCACTGCGTCGCAGTTTCTTATTTATTTTTGTTGTTTATTAGACTTTGTGATGTGTTCAAATAGTTCAAATCGGGTTAACGAATTATTATCAATACACTTGTCTAGCACATGTTTTGTGCAAAATAAACACAACCAGTAGTCTACTGAAATGAAAAAAAAACTAATTTTGTGAATAAAATAATAATACGAGATACTAGAAGTAGCTAGATTGCATTTCAATGCTTATATTCGTACATACATATATATATATATAGAAAACGGAAGCTGTTTCTCATTAACACATATATAAAACTAATTTTACTTTGTTTCGGGTTTCAAAAATAGATTTCAAGTGAATCAAATAAGTTTGAGGTTACCAAAAAAAAAAAAAAATTGAAAATTAAAATTAATTTGATTGATATGTCTTATAGTTTCGAGAGATACACTAAAATGTTCCAAAAAATATACATTAATGACTCTGGAAAATAGGAAAATATTCTAAAAATGTTTCTTATATAAGTCCCCTAAATAAAATATTCTTAAAAATAGCACTCTTGATTCCGAGGTACCCCAAAAATAGTTTTGAAAATTGCGGGCCATAA